TTTGTATAAACTTGTGTGTACAAAATAACAAAATAAAATCTGGACTGGATGCATAAAAAGCATTTCAAGGTCCCGGAATGACCTGGTCAGTCTGCAGACCTTAACCCCATAGAAAAATAAGTGGAGTGAGTTTAAAGTCTTCTTCCCAGCTACAGAACCATCATATCTAGTGGAGGAATGGACCGGAAACGTCTGACTTGTCATTGACAGCAAAGGTGATGCAACAAAGCCTCAAGCTGAACTTTTTTTAAATTGAGCAAATACCTATTATTTTTTTTAACAAAACTTACAAATAGATCCTTTAGAAATCCTACAATGTGATTCCCTGGATTATTATTTTTTTTAACCAGTTTGTCTCATATGATGGAAATAAAACCTTTTTGGCCCCAGTGTAGCAACAGTGATGGAATGAAAGCAGAACAATGAACCGTTGAAAGTCTTTTCACAAATTCATCCTATGTTCTTTACTGGATTTCGGCCTCCTTTGGTTCCTGAAATCAGATCAACCGATTCACCAAATGAATAAAGATGATCTGTTTGTAACCTAATCTCACTGTACAGCTTTATGAGAACAGATAAATGTGTTCTTTTACTTGTGGCAAGAATGAAACATACTCTGGAGCTTTATTTAGGTGTTTCCCCTAACAAACTCATATGGGGTAAAAACACCACTGCTTTTGGTTAAAAGGGAAGGAAGAACCGACTTTACCTATAGAGGAGACAGGGATTTTTTGGAGCTCAGGAGAAACTTCCAAAGACCTTCTTTGACTTGATGGCAGCCATCTTCTGTGGAGCAGCATTGCTGCTGGGAGAAAGACTTGCTAAAAGACACATCACTACAATATCCCCCATATCATGTGTGGAACTGTTGCAAAGATGGTGAGCTGATTCAGTGACAGACTTCACCTTCCTAGGGGAACAAATTATCATAATCACAGATCTTTCCTCCTAGAAGCTGTTAGCTACTACAGACAAGTTTTGAGTATGTTTTTAAATCCCTGCAGTTTGCAGTTTCTTCATTTTCATGAAAAGACTTTTTATGCAGAGATGTACATACACATTTTGAACAAAAGTGTAATGTTGCATACTAGCTCAATTTACTTGTGAGCATGCAATTTGTAATTCCTAATATCTGTTTAGTGTTTCTATTTTCTAATGTTGCATATTTTCCCTTAATCTGTCAGGGTTTGTTTGGAGGTTTTTGTGAGGACCCAAATGCAGAGGCTGAGAGGCAGGGGTGAGTTCTCTGATGATTTAATGGGATAAGACAGGTAGCAAAAACAGGAATCCAAAAATCCATCATAAAAATTAAACACTAACCAGAATCATGGAGACATCAGGGGAAGACTATCACAAGGAGCCAGGGTGAGACAAAGTAAGACGAGGAACCAGCACTGAGGGACTGCAGAGGGAGTGTATTTATGGCCGACTGAACAAAGGCAGGACTAAGGAGCTGATAAGGAGCAGGTGTGAGTAGAGCTGATGAGGAAGCCAAAGGAAAAAGGAAACACAAGGGGGCAACAGAGGACAAGGAAAGAAAAACCTAAGAAACTTAAATAATTCCAGAACACACCAATAAAGCTAGAAAGCAAAGAAAAACATGAATAAACGTGAAACTGAAAACCAACAGAACCAAGATCGTTACACAATTAGACACTTTGTTTAAATAAACTAGAGTAATTTTGCCTTTAAAATATGATAATCTGACATTATTCCCTTGGAATATATACAGCACTCTGTTTTTTCTTTTTTTTTTTTCTGCATAAATTGCATTAATCTTTTGGCAAATTGTCTTACCTGCTCAAATAAAAGGAATATAAATTTATTTCAAGAGAAACTGACTGCCTCAGATTAAAACCTGGAGTT